ATGCTGCGGTTGGGTTGCTGCCCGGCAAGGCGGCCCCGATTTCAGCAGTCACATCCCAGTGAGCTAGTGGGCTCAAGGGCCCCCACCCCCTGTTGCGCCCCCCCCCCACCCCCCCATGGCTCAACGGCAGCATGTCTCACCCAGAGGTCTGCGTCCACGCCGTGTCCGGCGAGGGTCCGAAGAGCAGACTCGGTCGCAGCCTCGAACATCCGCCGGTCTCCGATGAAGACCACGAACCGCTTAGGTCTGGTGAACGCGACTTTGGTCCTGTTTGGCGCGTCAAGGAAGCCCCGGTCGCACGACCCGCTGGAGCGCGTGGCAAGGTAGATGACTACGTCAGCTTCTCCTCCTTGACTGGCGTCAGTAGTGAAGAGGGAGAGCTGACCAGTCTCCATCAGGTCAGGGAACGTTTCGGCCAATCCCCTGAACGAATGCGCCAACCCGTTGTCGGCCGTCGGGGGACCATCGAGCGGGCAATCAGCGCCTAGGCCGGAGGCGCGGGCAAAGGGGGCAGAGCGGGCGCGCGCGCTAACCGCGCGTGGTTGGGAATAAAATGGGGAGAAGGGAGTGGATGACTGACCCGGTGGATGTGGCTCTGAAGCCGCTGTAGCGCCTTTTTATATATATATATATATATATATATTGCCCTGCTTCGATTCAGCCAGCGTGGCGTTCTTCCAGAAACCGCTTTTGCCCTGTGGCCGCCCGCCGCACACTGCGGTCCGCTGCGCAGCGTAGGGGGCGGTCACTTTGACGGTTAGTCCAGAGTTAAGCATGGCGGGGCCAAGCGCGCGAACTACTTCAAGGCACGTGGCAGCCTCGTGGAGGTTGGCGTAGCCGCTCTTGGCACTGGAGGTGCTGTCCGCATGTGGATTGTCGATCATGAGTACACAGTGGACGTCTCCAGGCATCATCCCCTCGTTGTGTAGGTCGCTGGTCTCGCTCCTGAATTCGTCCACGCCTTTTCCTAGCTTTTTGGCGACAGACTCCAATCGCTCGTTGTCCAGTGGACGGTGCTTCACCCACGGAAGCCCGTTGACAATGGGACGCTCTTGTAGAGGCGCGACGAGGCCTGACGCGATCTTCTTGTCGCGGCACGCGAACCTGCAGAAACCGCGGACGTCGGGGAGGCACCTGAAGGACTTTACGAAAAGTACTGTGGCAGGGCTGTCCTCGTCCAGGGGATCTGGATTTTTCTCGAACGAGGAAACTTGTAGCCCCAAGTATTCTGCGCACCGGGACTGCACTGTTGGCGGGAGCTGCTTGGGACCGCCCGCGAGGACGACGCGGGCGCCACAATCGACCATGATGCCGATGGAGCTGGCAGCACAGGCCCTCGTTGACCTTGCCCACCTCGTCGATGATACCGAGGATCACCTTGGGTGCGTTGGGCTGGTCGAGCCTCCAGGAGCCTCCGTGGGTCGCGATGATAATGCTGAATTTGCTGCTGAGGTAGTCTTTGAACTTCCGCCAACTCTTGCTCTTGTTGGACCTGTTGGGCTCGGTGTTCCAAGCACGTCGATAATGACTGGCGGCGGGCAACTTGTGAACGCCAGGGTGTGTGATGCGCTCGTCTTCTGCAAATTGTACAGCGCAGCTTGGGTATTGCGGAAAGTTTTCAAGGCGGCCCTCTCTGCGTGCTGTTTCGAGGGCGACGGCTGTTTGGTCAGCTGTTGTGTTGAAGCCAGCGACGGCGAGAACAGTGGAACCGAGTCCCGCGACAAGTGCCCAGAGCCTGGCGAATGCGGCGGCGTTACGTGTTTTCCCTGCGCCAGGTGGGCCTTGTACCGCCGTGGCGAGATGTTTGACGGATGAGCGGAAAGCCTGCGTGCGTGTGGTCATCAGTGAGGTCATGCGCTGCAATGACCCCTTCGATGGTGCCCTCAGCGGGCACTTTGTTGGCACGTGATCTCAGCTCACCGAACCAGGGTGGTCGTCTATTTCAGCGTCCGTGATCGGTTCCAACGCGTCCGACGTGCTCACCAGGTCGCCAAACTGGTCAGGATCGAGCAATTGCCCCCCGAGCGTTGCACGACTTCGGAGGCGCAGAAAGTGTCCTCTTAGCGCGTTCGTGTAGGTGTCGTTGGAACTTTGTTTCTTCCCGTTGTCGTTTGTCGCAAAGGCCAGCGCGTCGTCTGTCCCCCATAAGTCGTCCCGGTGTACATTGGAATGGTACATGTTCGTCAAGGCGGTTTTGACTTTTTCGTGCTGGATCGCACTGGGCGCGATGTCGCCGCGGTAGTGAGGGGCACCTGTCTTTTAAGGCAGGGGCGCTACAGCAGAGGTGCTGTGCAGTGGCCCGTCGACCTTGTCGTGCTTGACCAGAAAGCCATTGGTTGGGTAGACGCGAGAATGCGGATGGAGCCCCCGCTTATCGTCTGGGATGACCCGCCTGGGGAAGCGCGGGCAGACCACGCGGAGACAGGCGATTTCGTCGGTGTTCTGTTGGGTCTTTTGTGTGACAGCAGCACCGCTCGACCAGCGTTCCACACGCAGTGCTCCACGCAAACGGAGATCCGCAGACATAGAGCTCCACACGCGTTGTGGAACACCAAACCATTCGTTCAACACATCATGACAACTATTCGAAGCCCGCACACATTGTGTGCCGCACTCTCTCTTTATTCCCACGCGCCGATGGGGCAGCCAGCAGGTTCAAATGGCAACAGCGCGCAACCATACACACACACACTCACAAAAACACACACACACACAAACACACACACACAAACACACACACACACACACACGCACACAGACACCTGTTCCGAGACAGCGGCCGATGAATCACCAATCGAGCAGAACAATTGCAACGGACGATGCATCCAGAAACGATTCGGTCACTGAGACTTCGGAAGCACGCGCAGCCGCACCGAACTTTGGGGAACACGCGCAGTCGCAAGGGCGTAAGGCACACACACACACATATACACACGTTTGTTACGTCGCAGCGCGGCACAGGCAGGGAGGGTAGGGCATCCGTAAGGCGCACACACACAACAAAAAATTGGGGAAACCAAGAGGTACCGATACCGCCACTCCCCGGACCTCTCCCGGGGTGCGTTCTGACCCGGGGTTCGAGGCGACTCCAGCGGTGGCGAAGAGGGCCTCCCAGGAGGCACAGCGAGGGGAAAAACGAGGCGAGCGTAGCTGTATGGGTGCGCCTTCTCCTCCTCCGAATGTTGTCTCAGACCACTTCGGCTCAAGCTGGCCCGCCTGAGCGTGGCCCTCGGCTGCACCGCGCGGCGGGTGCGTGGGCCCGGCCGGCTCGGACCTCGGCTGCCTCGCCGAGGCGGCCGTTCGGGGCAGGCGCTGTTGGTCTGGAGCCTCATCCGCAGAGCACGCAGAACAAGAAAAAACAGCATGAACATGAGTGGTTGTTGCTCCGCGCGGATCTCTTGGATCTGCGCTGGACCCACCCCCCCGGCGCGCCAGAGGCGGCGCCAGTGGCGGCGCCGGGGGAGCCCAGCGCGGATCCAAGAAATCCGCGCGGAGCGCCAAAAGTATGTGCTGATGCCTTTCTTTTTCTTCTCCGACCCCACGTCGGCGCCGTCGTCGCCGCCGACGCCGCCGTCGTGGTCGCCGTCCCCCCTCGGGGTCGGCGGCACTGGCCGCCAGGCCTTCCCAACAACCCCCCTGACGGGCCTGTTTGCCACCACCACCACCACAAGTTGGAGGGGGGAAGGAGGAGGAGGTGGAGGAGGAGGAGGAGGAGGAGGAAGAGGAGGACCCCCTCCCACTCCGGCTTCTGGTGATGGAAAACAGGCGCAGCACCCCCGCGAGGGCAGGCCGAGGCAGCGCTCCGCCTGCCGCGGGAGAGGCCGCGAGGCCTCTCCCGCCCCTCGCCTTCTCCCCGTGCTGGGGAAGCCCTTTGGCACACGGCCCGCTCCGAGGGGCGTCGTTCTTCCCTCTGCACACCATGGTGGGCTTGTTTTCCACCACCACCACCATAAGTAGGAGGGGGAGGGGGTCCTCCTCCTCCTCCTCCTCCTCCTCCGCCTCCTCCTCCTCCTGCTCCTCCTCCTCCCCCTCCTCCTTATCATCCTCACCATCATCATCATCCGCGTCAGCATCATCATCACCATAATCAGCATCATCATCATCATCATCATCAGCATCATCATCATCATCATCAGCATCATCATCAACATCATCATCATCATCAGCATCATCATCATCAGCATCATCATCAACATCATCGTCATAATCAACATCATCATCATCATCATCATCATCATCATCATCATCATCATCATCATCATAATCAGCATCATCATCATAATCAGCATCAGCATCAGCATCAGCATCAGCATCATCATCCTCTACCTCCTTCCCCCCTCCAACTTATGGTGGTGGTGGTGGTAGAAAACAAGCCCATCACACCACGCGCCGCGCGGGGGGGGATCTCCTCTAGTACAGTCAACCGGTATACAGTCAACCCGCATCATAACGATGCGCGGTAAGGATGCAAGGGCCTCGGAGGCCCACGCGAACGTTTCTCGAACGAGGCTGGCCAGCGAAAGTCGCTACGGATGGGCCGAAGGCGCAAGGATGCAAGGGTACCCCTAGGAAAATCGCCTGACTGTGCGGGTCGACTGTGATACAGTCGACCCATACAGCAAGGATGCGTGTTTGGCCCTCCAGGCAGAACATGCGCCCAAACACAAGGTTGGGGGGGGGGGCGTTCAGTGGAATGCCCTCCCCCGCGGGCGCCCGCGCCCCCCCCCCCTCTGTGCGGCCGCCCGAGCACGGTGGCGGAATCGCGCGGCAGCGCCGAGGCCATGTCGATACTCTGCGAGCGGGGTGCGACCAGCGAAAGCGGCCAAGGACGGGCTGGAAGGGAAGGGTGCAAGGGTAACTTTGGAAGGGTGCTCATCCTCACCATGCGGGTTGACTGTAGGGGCCCCCAAGCACAAAGCTCAACACGCGTGGTTCCACGCATAGGGTTCTACATGAATAGGGATCCACACACACAATAATCCACACATCGGGCTTCACACCAACCGTAAAAGGCAGAAGAACCACCCTCATTCGAAGCAAAACTAGCGGGAAAAACCCTTGAGCAAACGCAGGAAAAGTAGGCATCGAACAAGGCGGGACATTCGAGTAAACGCTTAAGACAGTATCGTAAGCGCCACTGGTAGCCTCCCTTGACACATGGTTCCACACAGACGGGAGACGGGATCCAAACGCACCAATATTACATCTTAGTGCTGCGCTGGCAGTGTGTAGGGGATGCCGCAGGCAGCTGGACAAATGCATGACCTCCTCACCTTCCTTGATGTTCTCTGTGGCGACGATCAAATACCGGAAATGGTCATAGAACCTATACATGCGCACATTGGCAGGGTAGTCTGAATTGTAGAACATGGCGTTGCCACATCCAGTGCCCCAAATGTTCTGGTCCCCGCTGTAACGCTTGCCATCTGGGTTGTAGGTAAACACGTACGGGCACTTGTCGCCGTCAAGGCCTTTTATCCTCCCCATGACACCAGACTCCACGAAGTCGCCGGCCTTGATGTCCTGAGTGGCAAAGACACCAAACCCAGGCCACACAGGATGCGGAAGAGTCACTGTCTTTCCACTATAAACTATTGGCCACTCTCCAGCGTTGGTCTGTTCCACGTGGTCACGAACGGCCCCCTCGTGCAACACATCGGGCTCGACTCCGGCAGCCTCTGCCCTCGCCAGATCGATGCGGCGCCACTGCTGGAGGTACTGCTGCACCTGATCATCGGAAATGTGGCTATTCGCATCTGCATCACGAGGTAGCCCTTCGGGATCGGAATCAGCACAAACCTGGCGCACCAGGGGCGCTCCTGCCGGAATGTCCTCAACTGCTACCGCTTGAAACTCGAAACCCTCCTGCGCCGATTCTTTCACCATGATCGCGATGTTGAACCTGGTCCGTCCCTTCTCATAGAACATGAGAAGACCTGAGGCTAAGAATGACGGTGAGGGCAAGTTGGAATACTTTCCCCAGGGGAAGCCTGTTTTGAGCAGGAAGTCCGATCCAAGTTTTAACACATATGGATTTGACACAGCGTCGTCCAAGGCACCCATGGCAATCCCTCGGAGGATACCGCGTTCCACTACCTCACCTTTTCCTATATCTCGCTTGGCAAATGTCGCGAAAGTACCGTCCTTGTTGTGCAAGTTAACAGCACCTTCCCATGCGACTTTCAGGAGGTTGCGACAAGAACTCGATCTGAAGTAATCCAGGTCGAACGTGTGCTTCTGCGCAACGACGGAGCCCGGTCGATGCTTCAGACCCTCTCTGTGAGCAGGGACGGGATCGTAGGTGAGGACGCCAAGGCGCTCTGGGGCCCAACCATCACTTCTTCCCAGGGGCGCTTTGGACGATAAACGTCTTGCGAAGCCTTGCCGATGTAGCCGCCCGTACTGTGCTCGGCTCAAAAGCATTGTGCTAAGAGGTCGAAGCGCGGTTACTCAGCACTGTGGAGCTGTGGAGCATCAACAGCTGGAATACATGAGAGAAGAAAACTCACATCCTCCCTCCCTCCCTCCCTCTTTCGACTACACGCAAGAATGGCCCTAGGCAAGAGTGACCTTTGGTGCGCGGCTTGACGGGGGGCGCGAGGGGGCACAAACGAAGCGCGCAAGCCGCCGCTACCGCTCCGCGGTCAGCAATCGGGGACCCCCGATGAGCCCGCACCAAGTGTCACTCCGGCGAACCGAGCGCAGGCAGGCCCAGGCGCACGGGCGCGAGCACCTGTGCTGATCGATTTCCCTCCTCCGTCTGCGTGGCGTCAAGCCTCGCCGCCCCTGCTGCCCCAGGTGCCCGCTGCCCCGTCGCATCGTCGCCTGTGCCCGCCTGAAACTGCCTACCAGACCACCCCAACCCAACCCGAAGACCCAAGGTGGCCGCTTGGACTCCCTCCTGGACCTCCTGTGAAACTCTCCTGGGGGCGTCGCTGGGGACCTGTTGACGGCCTCGGGCGTCGTCTTGGGGCGGAGGGCTGGACATGAAAGCTCGGCTTCCCCATCTTGCCCTCCAGGGCCATCTTCGGGGTTCACTGGGCCGTCTTGGGCCGGCTCAGCGCTCTCTTGTGGGTTGTTTTGGCCGTCGTGGGCCGATGTTTGGGGCCTCTTGGGCCGTTTTGGATGGCGCCCAGAAGAAAAACCGAGCATGCCAAGCACACACTGACAAAACAGTGCTCGCAATGAGGGCCTCTTACCCTTGCTCCAAGAATCTACGTTTGTCAGGCAGGCGGGTATTTGGTCGCCGTCGCCGCCCCGTCGCCGCCCGCGTTTTGGGCCGGTTTGCCGGTCTGGCGCCATGTACTCGCCGTCGCCGCCCCGTCGCCGCTTCGTCGCCGCCCGTGGTCTTGGCCGTCTTTTCGGTCTGGCGGCTACGCGGCCACCGTTGCCGCCCCGTCGCCGCCCATCCAAGCCGTGTCGCACGTCCGGCGGCCATGTGGCCGCCGTCGCCACCCCGTCGCCGCCTCGTCGCAGCATGAATTGCGCACCGCACAGAATTGCACAACGTTGAGTTTCTGGACCTTGTGTCCGAAAAGGTGTATCTCCCCCCGACGCCCGGACGGAAACAATCCTTCCATTTTTTCCCGCACCGCAGATTACATCCGATTTTGCTCAATCGCCCATGCTAAATACGAGCGCGCATCATCCCGGCCAAACTGGTATGCCCCCCTTCCGCCATCGAGCGCAACAGCTACGACGCGCGCGCAATAGTCACCACTTTTCCAAGAATCCATTGCAACAAAAATCGACGAAGTGCACACGCGCGCATTGTCGCGCGCATGCCGAAATCATCCAAACGAGGTTTTCAACAAACACATGGGCCCGCGTTCTTGCGTACTTTTACGCAAACGACTACTGTTCAACATGTTCATTCAATGTACCGGACGGGCCTCCCGCGTGCGCTGTCGCAAAAAACCGTTGCAAAAAATGGGACGACGTGCGCACGCGCGCGTCGTCGCGAGCGCATGCCGGAATCTTTCAAAAACCGGTCGGAGGGTGTCAAAAAACGACCGTTCCAGTAGTTCATAACAAGAGGTCGTTGCAACATCAGGCTTCAAAAGAAAACAAACAACAAAAAAACGTGCGCTCGCTGTCTGGCGGAAGTCTTTGGAAAACAAACCATTCGCATGCTCATCAAATTCTGCCAAGCGGCCGGATGCCGAGCTCATTCGAATGCCCTCGCGCGCGTGCTAAGGGGGGGAGGGGGGGGGAGGGCGATCCGTATCAAATGACACCACGCGGCCAGCTCGCGCGTGTCGGCCGCGCGCGCATATCGATCTCAAAAACCTCCATCGCCGACCGAAGACATCGTCATCATGATTGTTGGGCGTGATCAACGTCGGCGCCGTCATTGGCCTTGCGGTCATCATCGTCATCATCGCCACCATCGCCACCGTCATCGTTACTCGCATAATCGTGTCTACCGTTGACGGCGTCGCCATGATACCGCTCCTGTCCAACTCACCACTCGAATTGAAGTAACCACTTGGACGTGCCTAGCGGTCAACGCCACCGCGGCCGCGTCGGTCGCGCCAAACTGGCTGGCCTCCGTGTGCGCGAGCATGCGAGGGCTGGCGCGGACGCAGGGATGCACCAGCCAACGCAAAGCACTCATCGCAATCGCCGCCGCATGTGTTTTGCAAAACAAGTTGCGGGTGGGTGGGTGGGACGTTTGCACGGGCATGGCGTGTGTCAGCTCATTTGTAAGCATGACTTGCACCACGCACATTGCACCACATAAATGTACATGCTCCTTGCTGAAAGAGTATTGGGGTGTACCCACGCCCCTTTTCGTGCTGCACTTTGAACATGTTTCTGCACCATCGCGCGTCCGAACTATGAATTCAGACCATCCAAGTCGAACCAATCAAGCTTCCCCCCTCCCCCCTACCCCCTGTGCGCGCGTACGCGTTTATCAATCATCATGGGTTCTCCAAAACCATTTGCAACAACAAATGACGAAGTGCGCAGGCACACGTCGTCGCGCGCATGTCTAAACCCTTAAGAAAAAACTCCGGTGTCGTAAGGATGTCATAATCGGGCGTCCCGAAAACATATGAAAACACATGAGCCCCGCAACCAAAATGTTTCAAAATTGTGCGCACGCGCTCTTGCCAACTCTTGAGAAAACCACAAATTATGCAACATTCAAAATTTTCATACAATGGTACCACATGCGCTTCTCGCGCGCGCATGTTGAAACCGTTCGAACGACCTTGCGCGAGTTGTCGCAAAAACCCTGCTTGCAAAAAAGGAGCGCGTCGTCGCGCGCGCATGCCGGAAACCCTTGCAAAAACACGTGGTGCCCTAAGGGTTTCAGAATCGAGTGCCACGAATATTAAATGTAAAAACACCAACAAATGGTTTTGCAGCCTCAGCTCCCCCCAAAAAGCACTACGATTTTCATTCGATCCTGCCAAACGGGCCTTTTTCGCGCCACATGTCGACATCATTCGAACGCCCTTGCGCGCGCACTGGGGGGCAATATCCGTGTCAAATAGCACCATGCGGGCCACTCTCGCGCATCGGCCGCGCGCGCATGTCAAACTCATTACGCGAGAACGCCGTTATTGTCGCCGGCGTGATCGGCATAGGTGCCGTCACTGGCCGTGACGTCGCTGCTGTCATCATCGTCATCAGGGTCGATAGTGGAATCATCGTGTCACCTGTTGCCGACGTTGCAATGATCCCGCACCCGTCCAAGTGGCCGACTTGCGCTGGAGCGACCGCTGGGGAATACCGAGAGGTCAGCGCCACCGCGGCCGCGCTGGCCGCGCCAAACTCGCGAGCCGCTGCGCGCGCGAGCATGCGAGCGCGGCGAGGGAGGTGCACGAGCAAACACCAAACACGCATCGAAGTCGCCGCCGCATGTGTTTTGCTACAGAAGTTGCGGGTGGGTGGGTGGGATGGTTGCGCGAGAAGTGGAGCTGACAACTGCGAGTTGCACCAATGAGTCGCACACCATAGATTGCAAAACGAAATGCGCAACACATGGATTGTATCGCGCAGGTTGCACCACTGAGATTGCACAACGCAGAATGTGCAAAATATGAACTGTTTTTTTTTGTTATTCTTTTGTTTTTCTTTTTTTTTTTTTTTTTTTTTTTTTTCAGAATGTACACTATGGAAAAAAACACTCGACCGCCCCCCCCCCGGAGTTAACGGGTCACCTTTGCATATAACACTTTACATACGATTCTGCCCCATCGTCCATCCGATATGCGAACTAATGCTATCCCAGCCAGGACGGTATCACTGCCCTCCCGCCATCTTCTGCCAAACAAAAAAACACACTCGTTGATCAACAATCGTAAATTTCCAAGAACCCCCCGCAACAGAAAGAGGAAGTGCACACGCGCGCGCCCTCGCGCGCGCATGCCAAAATCCTTCCAAAGCTTTCGGTTTCGGAAAGATATCAAAATCAATGTTGAAAAACACATACAAAAGCATGAGGTTTCGCAACAGTGATTTTCTGATATATGTATGTGTGTATATATATATAAACGCGCGCTCTTCTGCGAAGTCTCAAGAAAACCATAGGCTGTTCAAGTTGTCCAAACAGATGCTACCAAACGGGCTTCGCGCGCGCGCGTGCCGAAATCTGTCGAACGCCCTTGCGCGCGTGCCGTCGCGAGAACCATCTGCGAAAAAAGGGACGAAGTGCAGACGCGCGCGTCGTCGCGCGAGCATGCCGAAATATCTCAAAAACCTTCGGTGTTGGAAGGATGTCAAAATCGTGTGTCCAAAAAAACTTTCAACCAAATCATGCGCGCGCCCTTGCGTCGTCGTCGTCGTCGTCGCCGTCCTCCCTCCACCCTCGTCGTCGTCGTCGTCCTCTGTCTTTCCTCGTCGTCGTCGTCTTGGCGTCGTCGTCGTCGTTTGCGTCGTCGTTGTCGCCGTGGTTATCCTTCCTCCCTCGTCGTTTTCGTTTGCGTTTCGTCGCTGTCCCTCCTGTTTCGTCGCCGTCGTCGTCGTCGTCTTCCCTCCTCCCTCGTCGTTGTCGACGTCGCCGTTGTCGTCCTCCCTTCTCCCTGGACGTCGTCGTCTTCGTTGTCGACGTCGTCGTCGTCTTCGTCGTCGCCGTCGTCGTCGCCGTCGTCGTCGTCGTAGTCGTCGTCGTAGTCGTCGTCGTCGGCGGTGTCATCGTCGTCGTCGTCGTCAACGTCGGCGTCGTCGTCAGCGTCGGCGTCGTCGTCGGTGTTGTCGTCGTCGTCGTTGTCGTTGTCGTCGAAGCCGTTGAAAACTCGCCCGCAACGTCTACTGTTGTCGACGTTGCAATGTTGCCGCGCCCGCCCAAATTGCCGACTCGCAATGAAATGCCCGCTGGTATGTGCCCAACGATCAGCGCCACCGCGGCCGCGTTGGTCGCACCAAACCAGCTGGCCGCTGCACGCGCGTGCTTGGGTTGGCGCGGCAGTAGAGACGCACCACACAACGCCGAGCATGCATCGCAATCGCCACCTTCTGGGTTTTGCGAACCAAGTTGCGGGTGGGTGGGTGGGGAGTTTGCAAGAGCACGGGATGTGTCAACTCGTTTGTTAAAATCAACTGCATCACATCTATATATATATATATATTGCACCACATGGACCTGGCCACGTATGTTATATACCATGTGTTGCTCAATAGGTGCCGTCAAACATATATTGCAACATGTCGATTGCACATCATAGATGGCACTACAGTGGGCTCCACCACATAGATGGCGCCACGTAGATTGCACAACATGTATTGCACGATATATGTTTGGAAACCAAGCGCTGCACCATGTCGAATGTACGAGATATACAATCGAAATCTATCGTAGGGACTGGCGGTAAGGACATAAGTGCCTTGGACGCCGATGTCGGCAGACTGCCAATGCCCGAAATGACTGGCCAGTGGAAGCCTCGAAAGGCGGGCCGCAGAAGCAAGGACACAATGGTACCCTAAAGAAGACACCCGTGCGTCCTTATCATGAGTTCTCACTGGATTGAACTACAGTGAATGCACAATATAAAGATTGCACCACACAGACTGCGCAACATTGATATTGCACCACGTCGAATGTAACGGGCATATTGCACCACAAGGATTGCACAACATATATTGCACCACATGTATTGCGCCAGATAGATAGCACAACATTGCACAGCACATAATGCTAGAAATACACTGGTTGCGGTCCACGCTGGCTAACATATGTTTGAGCTGTGAGGATAGGGTGTGTTTCGCCTGTCGGGGCAACCTTAGCGGTCCTATTTTAGCGCTCTTGGGGTATCTTCGAGGCCCATTTGGCAAAGCGAGCTTCCGAAGGATTCTTGGAGGGCTTTAAGGGGGGAACGGTCGGGAATCGTACGTCGGAAATGGAGGCCTTCTCGGGGAAGTCTCTTCGAGCTCCTGGAAGCCTCTTGGGACCTATACGGGGCCTATTGAAGGCCTGCTGGCGGTCTCGGCGGCCATCGTGGGGCGGAGGGCTCGCATGTCGTGGGCGTGGTTCCGGCCCAGATATGCCCAGGCCAACATCCCACTATACGTAATACATGTCATGCAGCCGCACGGGAATTGTGCTCCCCGTCGTCAGCTGTGCCTTCACGCGTCCATGTACAATTGCGATGTCTGCTGCCGTTCACCATTGCGTAGCTCTGCGGGCGGACGGCATGAAGAGTTGGATCCGAACACTGCGTCGAATCGTTGGCCTTTCCGCGCTGCATGTTCGAGACACGATCGCCTTTTCTGAAGGGGCCCCAGGACACGCGAATAAATACACACACATAACAATAGTCCCCATATTTTCCCATATCTTCTAGGCTTCTGTCTTCCCCCCCACTTCCCCCATAGTTTCCCATATGTTCTGGGGAAGCGAGGCTTCATTGTGTCTGCGTGTTTCTTCTCCTCCTGATTTTTTCGGCTGCGCAACACGGTCCCCGAGCACCTGCTCCCGCCTGCGCGCGCGGTGCGGGTTCCACGTGTTTTTTCAACGTTCCCCGACCCCCCCCACTGGAAATGAAGGGCAAATCGTGGCCTTCGGGTTGGGCTGGGGTGGTTTGGTGGGCGGTGACTTTCGCCTGCGCAAAAACGGTCCCCGAGCACCTGCTCCCGCCTGCGCACGCGGGGCCCCCTGGGCCACGTCGCCAGTGGAGACCGTGCGCGGCCGCCCGTGGCCGCCCGAGGGGCCACCCCAAAGGCCGCCGGAGGCCACCCGCGGTTGTCAGGCCACCAACCGTGGACGGCCAGTGGTCGGTGGGATGGTTGTCCACCCAACCTCATCATCCCCCCCATCCTCCTCCCCCTCCTCCTCCTCCTCCTCCTCCTCCTTCTCCTCCTCCCCCTCCTCCTCCTCCTCCTCCTCCTCCTCCTCCTCCCTTTCCTCCTCCTCCTCTCTCTCCTCCTCTCCTTTCCTCATCCCCCTCCTCCTCCCCTCCTCCTCTCCTCCTCCCTTTCCTCCTCCTCCTCCTCCTCCTCCTCCTCCTCCTCCTCCTCCTTCCCTGCTCCTCCTCCTGCTTCTCCTCCCCCTCCTCCTCCTCCTCCTCCTCCTCCTCCTCCATGTCCGCAGCTGTCCACCAAACGCGGGACAGAGGTACCCCCAGGAAGTTCCACGCGAGGAGATAAGGGGGCCACATGCGAACCCTACCCCTGCCCCCCACGATTTCTGAGGGGGAGGGTGGGGTTCACTTCGCTCGGGAGCTCCCGAGCGAAGTGGACCCCACCCTCCCCCTCAGAAATCGTGGAGGGCAGGAGCAGGGGTCGCATGTGGCCCCCTATGAGAGCTGTCAACACACGTCGGCACGCTGCCACACGAAGTCCCGCCCAGTCCGCCTGCCGCGGCAGGGTGGGCAGCATGCCGTCAGGGGCGGCGGCGGAGGGAGCAGAGGATGACGAAGATGAGGGATGACGGAGAGAGGCAGGGGCCTGGTGAGTGAAGGACAAGAACCCAACGTTCAACCGACGTACTGACACTGGACCAAGTGTCGTATGGGGGGGGGGGGGCGGGGGCAGCATGCCCCCTGGAGCTCAGAATCTGCGAGCGGGCACGAGCGAAGTGGCCCCCCTCCGCGCCTGGACCCTGGCCGAGGCCACCCCCGAGAAGTGCAAGGACTGTCCGAGCGTCGGTGGTCCCTCCCGGCCCCCGTCCCCCGTGCAGGGTCTAGCTTGCTTTCCGCTCATTTCCTGGATCCTCCGAGCCCCAATCCTCGCTCCTGAGGATGGTCTCCGTTCAGCTTCCCGACGCTCGAAGACGGCCCAAGAGGCCTGCAAGACCGCCCCAGGAGGCCCCCAAGAGGGCGCCAAGAGGGCCCAAGAGGGCCCAAAAAGGCCCCAGAGGCGAACAAGACGACCCAAGAGGCCCCAAAGACGGCTCCAAGAGGGAACGGATATTTCGAGCCCTCGGCCCCGAGGGGCCCTCAGGGGGCCCCAAAAGAGGCCCTGGAGAGGCCCCCCCCGAGAGCTCTCCGAAGAGACACCGAGAAGCATCCCTGAGAACTCTGACCCACAGCCCAGGCAGGGTGGCGGGATGGGCCGAAGGCCATCAGATACTTCTCCGAACGTCGGTAGTCCCTCCCGGGCCACTCCTCCTCCTCCTCCTCCTCCTCCTCCTCCTCCTCCTCCTCCTCCTGCCCCCCCTCCAGAGTCTGCCGCCGAGGCCAGCCATGGATCGCGGCGTCCCGACCAGGACTCCGCAGCGGACCCGGCCGTGGCGACGGGGGCCAACCTCACCTCCTCGTGGGCCCCAGGAGGCCAACAACATCGGAGCCCTCCCCTTGCCCCTCCACCTCCTTCCTGGAGGGGGCTCCTATATATATATATATATATATATATATAGTTATATCTATATATATATATATCTCTTTATATATATATATATATATCGACTGAAATGGTCAGGTCTTACCGCTTTGGTGGATCCTGAGAGCCTCCACCCACAACGAGTTCGCCGGACCATCTCCCATACACAGACCAACCAAACCCCAAAACTGCGCATTCCGCCGGTATCCTCCCAAAAATGGGGTGACAACAAGAAACCGATACCGCTACTCCCCGGACCTCCCAGGTACGTTATGACCTGGATCTCAAGGAAAATCCAGTCGTGGCGCCGAGGGCTCCCCAGGAGGCGCAGGCAAATAAGCAATATCGGTACAATGCCTTCCTCTGAGGAGGATGGCACCCCCGTGCTCCGCGTAGGAAAGGAGGCAGCCACGAGTTCGACCGTGGACCGCTTCGCAACAGCCCATCCGCACTCGGTTGTCTTCGGCAGTCTTGCAACGATCCCCAGCGGCGGGCCAGCCGACCTCGGCGATACTCGGGAGATGTTCTTTGGGCGCGAGGGATGGACGGGTGCGCTTGACGGGGGTGCCACGGTAAAGCACATCATCACGAGCATGGCGCGGCGGCGGCGACCTCTGCACAGTCCGAGTCCGCGTTTGCCGCGCCGAGGTCGAGGTCGCCGCTGCGGGAAGACGAGACGTCGCTCATATCCTGACCGTGCAGAGGCGACATCGCGACATCGTCATCGGTGTCGTCGCCGCCGCAGCCGCCGCGGTCGTCGTCGTCTTCGGCGGCGTCGGTGACGGCAGCGGCGGCATCGGCGTCAATTGTCGTGTCCGTCGCCTCCGCCTTCTAGCTAAATCCGGCACCGTGCCTTGTGCACGTTGACGCGTGGAAGAATGCCAATGGTTGTATGGTAGGTTTTTTGCATTGTAATGAAGACCACTGCCCCCTTACTAGCATGATCTGCATGCATCGCCCCAAAGTTCCCTCTTCCACGATCCCTCGAAACAAAAACACAATCGATCTGCAATCCCGAGCTTCTAAGACGGCCCAAACAGGCAACCATGTGGCTCAAGATGCCACGAAGACGGCGCCCAGGCGGCCCAAGATGGTCTGACGGCCCAGGATGCCTCCAGAATGGCCCAAACTGGCTACAGTACGACCCCCAACTGGGCCCGAAGAAAGGCCAAAATCTTTGGATCTTGTTTTTCCCAGCTTCCGTCAGCTCAAGATGGCCCAGTAAGCCTCCATGGTGGCCTCAAGAGGCCCCCATGAGAGCCCCAAGATGGCTCAAGAGGACCCCAGGATGGCCCAAGAGGCCTCCAAGATGGCCCACACTTGGCTGCAGAGGGCCTCTGAAGGGAGCAACTACGGCCTTAGAGGGCCTCTCAACAGCCCGAGACGATGCCACATGGCCTCACGAGTGCCCCAAGACATTCTCCATACGACCAAGACCCCCAAGCGGCAAAAAAACCGAAGACGGCCTCGGAGGGTCCCGAAGCGGGCCAAGAGGGCCCCAAGACTGGTTCCAATGGACACCCCAAGACTCAAGCCGGTTCCAAAATGGCCCAAGCACCGTCCATGAGAGCTCCTTGAGAAGAGGAGACGAAAGGGTGTCACAAGTCACGCGTGACGACTCCTTTCTTCCTATTCATTCCCCTCCTCCTCCTCCTCCTCCTCCTCATCATCATCATCATCACCATGACCAAAAGTATCATCATCAACATCAGCACCATCATCCGTATCTTCTTCGACACCAACATCATTCATCACCATCAGCAACATGAACATGACCATCGTCAACATCATCGGAATGGCCAATATATGCATCAACATCATATATGCTCGTTCTCACCTTCAACATCCGTGTCATCGTCATCATCACAACCAACAGCACCAACATCATATTCACACACCATCGCACGTAATGCACAACATACACTGCACCACCTAGATTGCATCACCTGGCTTCCGCAACATAGACTGCACCACATAGAATGCACAGGATTAGTCTCACATCGCCCCTTGCATTCCTTGGATCGCCCCACGTAGGTTACACTTTACAAGTGTCCTAAAACCGTATTGCACAACATGAATCGCAAAACGTTGACTGCAAACCTCTATTCTCCATAAAAAAAAACAGGTTATATCACCCTCCCCCCCTGCCATACCCATTTCTTGGGAGCCGATACAAAAAAACGCATGTGGTGTTGATCCAATGACCACCCTACCTGCGAGTTCAAACTATCCCAGCCAGGCTAGTATCGGTCCCCCTCAGTTCCCTTGCGGAACAAAAAAACTGTGCGCACACACCTTTTTGTCAAAAAAGAATATAGGAAGTGCTCAAGAATCCCTTGCATCAAATACGGGACGAAGTGAACACGCGCGCGTCGTCGTGCGCGCATGTCGGAATCCTTCAAAAAACCTTAGGGTTTGGGAGAATGTTCAAAAAATACCATCAAAAAATAGAGCGTCGCAACACAGATGTTCAACAAAAGCGTGGCGCGCGCTCTTGCGAATTCTTAAAGAAAACATGAGTTCTTCAATTTGTTGTTCATAACGTGCTACCACATGGGTTTCGCGCGCACGCGTGTCGAAATCGTTCGAACGCCCTTGCGCGCGTGCTAGGGTGGCACGATCCGTGTTAAACTATACCATGCGAGCCACTCTCGCGCGTCTGCCGCGCGCGCATTTCGGATTCCTTCTAAAGCTTCCTCACCGACGCGAAGACGCCGTCACTGTCGGCAGCGTGATGAGCATCGGCGCCGTCTCTGGCTGCCCCGCCGAAGCTGCCAGCATCGTCGCCACCATCGCTACTATCATCATCGTGTCTATCGTTGCCGGCGTTGCCATGATACCGCGCCCGCCCAAGTCGCCGACTCGCACTGAAGTGCCCGCTGGGATGTACCGAACGGTCAACGCCACCGCGTTCGCGCAGGTCGCGCCAAACTACCTGGCCGCGGCGCGCGCGAGCATGCGCGGGCTAGCGCGGCCAACACCCAGCACTCATCGAAATCTCTCCCGCATAGGTTTCGCAAACGAAGTTGCGGGTGGGTGGGTGGGATGATTGCGCGAGCAGTGGAATTGAAAACTTCCAGTTCGGCAAATGAATTTTATTTTCTGCAAGAAGAATAACTGTACCCCCCCCTCCCCCGGATTTACGGTACCCCCTGGGGAATTGCGATCTCATGTCTATTCTGCACACTCGTCCATCCTAAATATGAGTTCATACTATCCCGGCCAGGCTGATATCACTCCCCCCCGCCATCCTCTGGGAAAAAACTATGCGCGCACTCTCGTCGATCCAAAACCATAAGTTCCCAGGAATCCCTTGCAAAAAAAATGAAAGGCACACGCGCGCGTCGTCGCGCGCGCATGCTGGAATCCTTCAAGAAGCATCGGTTTCGTAAGGATTTCAAAGTCGAGCTTCCAAAACACATGGTTTCGCAACACTGCTTTAAAAATTACGCGCGCTCTTGCGAGATTATTACTTTCAACCGGTTTCCATGATTTTCAAAAATAAACAACCGAAAAAACAATAAATACGGGCTTCGCGCGCGCATGTCGAATTCTTCAGAACGCCCTTGCGCGCGTGCCGTCGCGAGAATCCCTTGCAAAAAAACGGGACGAAGTGCAGACGCGCGCGTCGTCGCGCGCGTATGCCGAAATCCTTCAAAACCCATCGGTTTCGGAAGGATTTCACAATCCTGCCAAACAAACATACAAAAGCACAAGGTTTCGCAACAAGGATGTTCAACAAAAGCGTGAGAGCGCGCTCTTGTGTCGTTGGCGTCGTCGCCGTCCTCCCTCCTCCCTCGTCGTCGTCGTGACCGTCGTCGTCCTCTGTCTTTTCTCGTCGTTGTCGTCGTCGTCTTGGCGTCGTCGACGTTTCCGTCGTCGTTGTCGCCGTGGTCTTCCTTCCTCCCTCGTCGTCTTCGTCGGCGTTTCGTCGTTGCCCCTCCTAATTCGTCGCTGTCGTCGTCGTCGTCGCCGTGGTCTTCCCTCCCACTTCGTCGTCGTCGCCGACGTCGTCCTCCCTCCTCCCTCGTCGTCGTCGTCGTTGGCGACGTCGTCGTCGTCGTCGTCGTCGCCGTCGTCGTCTTCGTCGTCGTCGTCGGCGTCGTCGTCGTCGTCGGCGTTGTCATCGTCGTCGTCGTCGCCAGCGTCGGCGTCGTCGTCGTCGGTGTTGTCGTCGTCGTCGTTGTCGTCGTCGTCGAAGTCGTTGGAGACGTCGTCGGTGTCATCGTAGCCGTTGTCGGCGGCGGCGTCGTCGTCGTTATCGCTGTCGTCGTCGGTGTCGTTGCCAAGTGCCATTTGGTACCCACCATCACGGTCTGAAGAGGTCTTGCGACGAAGTTGCGGGTGGGAGGGTGGGATGTTTACACGAACAGTGGAGAGGACAGCTTCAAATTGAGCAAGTGATTGATTGCACCACTTAGAGAACACCATCTATACTGCATCACATAAACTGCACAACAGATACTGGCCCGCAATCATGGCACGAGTTCTATTGCACCTGCACAAGATCTTAACACACATATGTATATGTATACATATGAATACATATGAGCAGTGCACCACATCGACTACCCAAGATGGATTGCCCCAACAGGTTGCACAACATGCGTAGCTAAACATAGTGCACAACGTAGATTGCACCAAATTTATGGAACCACACAGATGGCACCACACAATTTGCCAAACGCAGATGTCGTCACATTGATAAATTGCATCACATAGATTGAACACCACAGTTTGCACCACAAAGCTTTCACAACATGAATTGCTAGAAAAAAATAGTACTAGAGAATTTCTCCAATCCGAATATTTTCAGTGCTATAGGGCTATGGGGCTATAGGGCAGGCTGAAGGGCTGTAAGGCTATGGGACTACAGGGCTACAGGGCTATAGGGCTATAGGGCAACAGGGCTATAGGGCTATAGGACTATAGGGCTGTAGGACTATAGGGTTTTAGGACTATAGGGCTGTGGGGCTATGCGGTTATAGGGAAAATTATAAGGAAACAGGGCTAAAAGGCTGTAGGGCTATAGGGCTGATAGGGCTATAGGGCCATTGGGCTGTTAGGGCTATACGGCTACAGGGCTATTAGGGCTGAAGGGCTATAGGGCTATAAGGCTATAGGGCCATAAGGCTTTAGGGCTTTAGGGCTACCAGGCACCAGGGCACCTGGACACCTGGGCACTCGGGCACCCGGGCACCCGGGCACCCGGGTACCCAGGCACCCGGGCACCCGGGCGTGCCCCCGAAATCGGCGCCATACCTCACTTAACCATATGAATCCGCTAGGACCCCTACAGAGGCAAGCTCTAATGTTTGGAGCCCACGCTGGTTAACATTCGTTAGGATAATGAGCCTAGGGGGCGCGATGCAGCGTGTGGTGCAAGCTGCATCGGGCAAGCTGTGCAATGCAAACATCGGAGTGCAACCGACGAGAGCAACCAATCTTGTTGTATTGACGTCGACCAATCAAACGCTCGGGCAACCGTCCCATTCTCCTCCCTCTCTCCCTACCGTGTATATGGTTGGTTTATGCAGACCCGACCATCCAGGCGGCCTACCCACCCAACTACGGTCAGCGCCTACCCACCCCCCAGGCTCCCACTACAGGCATCATGGATATCATCCCGGTCCCCAAGAAGGTACCCAAAGGCCGCAGGTTGTATGCCATGGGGTGGTTTGCTATCG